GATCAGACATTGACATGGAAGGGTCAGAGAAACTAACAATAGAATCACTTATGTGATCTGGGACATTTGGAGTTTGGTGAGTTATGCTGGAGAGCCAACAAAATCAGTTTAGATTCAGTGGTGTTGAGATTTAGTTAGAACTTATCCACTTACTGAAATCAACACATGCTTCCAATTTCCCATGGGAACATGTGGCATTTCCCTGTTTTGGCTCAAATGACATGTACTTTCAAACATCATCCGAATAGCACTGACACCTGATACCACGACACTGCAAAACTGTTTTTTATTTTAATGGTCTGTCCTAATGAACCTTTTCTTATTTGGTCTGTGTCTATTAATTTCATGTCATTAGATATTTCTGTATCTTCTAATCTACTTTCTTATTTTAAGTACCATATCTTATGATTATTTTGTACATTCTTTTTAATTTATATTTCAATGCTAACTGAAGGAATGTGGAATCAGCCTCAGGCTTCAAAACTCTCTTTTCTTAAATAAAAAACCATTACAAAATAAACAACAAACCATTAATGATATAGGTCACGACTGGAAAGTTAAATGGGTAATAAGGCAATTCTTACATTTACCTTGAGTGATAGTACCTCTAAGGTACCCATCAAGAAGAGGTAGAATTACTTTCAGATGTGGCTGGAGGGAGTCAGGTAGTAAATGCAGCATCCATCTTTCTAAGGCTTCTAGACCTGTCTCAGCCAAGGGTAGATAGCTAAGTCCAAGTTGAAATGTCATCTGAAAGAAATGGCATTCCGGCAATTGTTTAGTATTCTTCCCAGAAAAACAGGGCAATCAAAAGTGTACACTGTTGCCTGACAAGCCTACTTCATATTGCTGAGTTATTATTACAAGTTTTTCTGTGTATTGGATAATACAGGGGTACACAAGAGACCATCTCAAAACTCGTCTGGGACAAGTTGCGGGTGGCAACACTGACTTCACCCACAAGAAGCCCTGCATTTGTCCTGGACGAGTGAATGGCTGGTTTACATTTGGCCTCATTGCACACAATAGGTGGCCCCATATAAGTTGTGATACTACAGAAGACTACTTGTGACTACTACCAGTACAGAAGACACACAGCGTGCTCTTGAGTGAGCACTCAAGGGCACTTGAGCTTTGCTCAAAATGTCAGTAGGACATCATGTAAACAAACTAATTGCATCATTGCAAGAAGATTGCAGACACGATGGTTATGAATCCCGCAACATAACCTTAGCAATGTCTGCAACCTGTCTGCAACTTATCCCGAAAGAATTTTGAGATGACTCCTAAGGATACTTTTAAATAGCCAAGTAGTTAAGTTGCCAAGATTTAACTACTGGCACACATGAAGACGACCTACATGCATACATCCTTGGCGTGTACTTGAGGTCCATTGATCAATCTTATTAATAACTGTTCCTACATATAACAGCCATACTCCCGTACTTGCAATGCAGGCACAAGGTGAGCCACCTCAGCTTGTACTATCTCATGGGGTAGAGACAGCACAAGAAGCAAACAAGATGCCAGCAAGTCATCTTTGTATTGCTTCAGACGAACCAAGACCTCTTTGGAGAACTTTGCGAAGAGGGTGAAGCAGATGCAGCGATCAGAAGCTGAGACACAAGATGAACTAGAGGAGAAATTGAGATCTATATCCATGGAATCTTCTTGGCTGCTAAGGTCTGATGGCTTGATACACTGAGGGAATGTAAAAGATATCATTTCAAACCATCCACAGAATTTCAAAAAGACCTTTGGTAACCCTTTCTTAACTGTTACCATTACCAGCTTCTAGCTTCATGCGTAATAAGTACAGTAGATCACACACACCCATGCAGAAGCAAAAGTTAAAGCAAAGAAACAAAAAAAAAATTATAACTTGTAAAATTTACATTTGTATTTTGGAAGACATTAAAACATTAGAAAATAACAAGTCCTTGTGAGCTTCAGCAACTGATGTTATATAAGTAATAAGTACTGCAAGTACCTTAAAGAACTGGATTTGGGTGCAGATATTCATGCAGACAGTCAGCAGCTTGTAAAAACCACTGACCAATGGCAATCGACAGGACAAGAGAATAACCTCATGGCCGAAACGATAGACCCACTGTTTGAACAAAGCTGGCTGATTGGCTGGGAGGAGGTCTCTATGGACATAAGCATTACATCAGCTTTAATACAGTACCCCTGGGTTATGACTCAGAATGTCACAGAGAATTATCAGAACTAGTCATGTGTAAAATGAATGGTTAAGAAATATAGAAACAAAACAACATGAACAAGGACTTAATGGAATGGTGAAGAGCACAATGTCTGAGTTCTAGAGCATTCTAGTCAAAATCCAAGTTTACTTACCTACAAAAGTCAACCAGATTGACAAAAATCTGGAAATCCTTTGGCTTAGTGGCATGCAAACCATGTAGAGGGTCTGATGAGGCATCTTCTGTGGAATCTGAATCTACAGCCACCTGCAAATGATCATTTAGGGAGGTGCTATGTTATGTACATGTACAGCAATTCAAACTCTTGTTGCCAAGATCTGCTATAATTAGTGGCAGTGCATTAAAATCATCTACAGGGACCGATGAAAATGTCTTAAAACTTTAAACAAGGGCTGCCAAAGAATGTTATCTACATTAATCCCTGTGTGAATAAATCTTAATAAAATAGATCTCAATGCACTGAGAGCATGCATAACCAACATGCAAGGCATTTTATACAGAAACTAGATGACAACCTGTGACAGACTATTGTGGCGAAACAGTCTGTGGACTGACGCAAGTTTAGTAATACATGTCTGGTTCCCTGACGCGCGGCGCATCCATTGGCGCGTAGTCAGTAATTTGGTAGTCAGTTCGTCTCCAGACGTCGTGGTAGAAGCATCGCAGTGCAGATAGAGCGAAACGTTAATTCAGCG